TTATGATTAACAAATGCTTTAAACATCCTTAGTTAAACAACCAATGAATCACGAACAGAATAGATCATTTCTGTTAATATCTGATTAAGAGAACTGAAGTCCTCGTGTGTAAAATGACCCATCATGGCCTAAAATAAGAGTTCAGCGTTCCTGCCTTTCTCTCAGGCCTGTGCGAGACCTGCTTTGAGGCAGTACTCCTGTTTCTTCACTCGAGATGACCCCTACAGTGCTGATTAACCATCCTAGTGGCGTGTTTTTAGGGATCACTACAGTATCTCTTCTGTGTTTGTGTTGCACACAGCGAGAGAAGTATTCCTGGAGTCGAGGCTCACTTGTGTTGTGGCCTCGAGGGAGAGTCCTAGGTTGAAGAACCTAGGAGATGGTTGAAAGAAAGCCTGTTGCTGGTCAATAGCTTGACCAGCTAGGATGTGGATTCACACCAAAATGTTTGTTGCTTGAGGAGGGACTGTGGTAAGTTGGTTGTTGGCGATTTGGCAGACCTCAGGGATGGTCTGTCCAGCCTTTAGGTTAACTGTGTCTAGCACAGGAAGTTCTTTTGGGGTTGTTTTCAGGGTGTCCACTTGGACACCTAGTCTCACCAAAATGTCAGAACCTATGTAGACCGAATGTGGAAGGTTTGGGACCACGAGGATCGGATGGACCAGTTCTCATAGGTTCCAGATCAGTTTCAGGTTAATGACTCCTGTTGCAGTCAGAACCRMTTTGCTGTTAGMGTCTGTTGGMAAGCGAAAAMYTTTTTTCACCAGTTGTWGGCCTWAGTGTTTTTCAGCTAAGGTTTCATAGAAGACCTGGCTGATTGCAGATTTATCTGTCCAGAGGGATAGGACAGCATCATCTGTGTGGGATCCTTGGATCTGTAGGCCTTTCACTACCTGTGGTAGGTAGTGCTCTGTGTTTTCTGACTGTGTCAGTTCACAGAGGAGGGTGTCTTTGTGTGTCAGAGTCGGGTTCAGCTGCTGAGCTGCCGCTGACTCAGATGCAGTTGAGGTCTCACTCACCTGGTCTCTATTCTCAGGTGAGGGGTCAGTCGTGCCCTCTGCAGTGTCCACTGCTAGGCACTCTGTGTCCCAATAATTGTCAGGAAATTAAGGCGGATGGTGCAAAAAAGACCAAAACATGGTAGAGGCAGAGGCCGGCTTGAACAATTCGAATTTATAATAAAGTGAGGAAAAATCAACTCAAATACATAAATTACACTTTTAAATGTATTTAAATATCTCTTTAGGGTTTTATGAATATTTCTTCCTTGTGCTCCAATGGAGTTACAACACATGAATGGTTTGAGTTTCAGTTTCCTTTTGTTTGTGTGTCAATAGGTTTTTGTGCATGTTTCATCCATTTACAGTCCAGCACTTCCTCGTCTCTCTAATCTCACAAAGCCGTCTGTGGTCCTGGCATCAAACCAGATCTATAGCTCTTCTCTCATTTATCATATTTTACAGCACATGTTGGAACCCGATGTGGTTCTGCAGCCTCCATGATGAACACTCCACTTACAGAAATCCATTTGTGTCCAACAATCAAAATACGGGTCTAAGATGCCCCTCCCCTCTCTGTGTGTCCCTATGTTTGTGTCTTTGCAGGGGAAGAGGAACAAGCCGGGAGTGGAGGCTGCCAGCTCTCCAGATTCTGTGAGAGGTCGAGGGGAAAATAAAGCCATCAAGTAGGTGTGAGAGAGACYTTCAGAAATGATCAATGCTGATGGTTAACTCTTATTTCTGACTGTAAAGTTGATATTTAAGCTCCCTGCATGTCGAAAGCCTCACTGTTAAAGGTTTAATGGGTAAAACCTTTCAAAGGAGATGAACTTTAAAATAATAATAAAAAGTAAAGACAAGTTTCTCTTTTTAAGCAAAAGATTGCATGATGAATCAGAAATGTTTATTTAAATTAAAACCAAAGAAACATATGTTTGAGATTTACTTGCCTATTATTAATTTTTTATATTATTACTTTTTTCTGGTCTATATGAAATTAAATTGAGTACTTTCATAACATACAGTTCACTTTATTTTAACACAGTTTTTTAAATATGAAAGTCCATTTTTGTCTCCCCATCGCCGAGGCGGGAGACATAATGCTCTCKGTCTGTCCATCCACCTTGTGAGATAATTAAATAATGAAGGCCTGTGATGATTCCAACTAAACTTCTAACAGTTGGTCACTACTGAATGTCCAAACCCTAGTGACATTTGCAAGGTCATGTGATCCAAGATGGCTGCCACCGTAGCCGAACCTTGCACCACACAAAATGGCGGTGGCTCAGTAACTAAAACAGCTATTGAGCAAGTTTTTTTGTAAGTAGATCTAAGTATGTGCCGACACATAGTTGAAGCATTTGCTACTTTTTGCCATCTTTACTCAATGCGACAGGGAACATCATCAGCAGTTGATGRTGAGTTCTATCTTGCACATAATATTTTTCTTGTTATTATTCATTTTTTTCTAACCCTCAGGACTTTTTAAATACTTGTTGCTTCTCTAATGTTTGACGTCTTTGTTTCTGTCTGTAAATGTTTGCCGTTTTAACATGTCTAACCTTTTGCCGCCTCTTTCTGGCCGTAGTGATATGGACAGAGACTTTTGGAATAACAACGACAGCAGCAATGTGCAGCAGAGGTGGAGCTCCTACCCACCCAAGGAGTTCCTCTTAAACATGTCTCCCTATGCTCCCTACGGAGACCCTCGCCTCACTCCCAAGTGAGTCCTGGTCATGGCTGGTAAGGGACCCCTCTGTCTGAGCAGGGCTGTTATCACTGGGGGCTCGTGAACACCAGGAAATAACTCCTACCCCTGTGCAATGAGGCATGACTCACAGTGTAGGGATCTGATTCTACAACCCCTGGCAAAAATCATGGAGCTAKTGTAACACTCTTAGAGAATGTTCCTTCAACTGCCACAAAGCTATCTTTTTTATAAACTTCCAATATAAAGAAACAGCAAATCACATAAAAGCTTAGTTGTTCTTGTCAGTTATGTTTACTTTTAGATTAAGTAGAGGACAAAATATGGAATAATTTGAATTTTAGACAAAATGATGAATCACTTGTTCTTAAATACTTGTATCAGATWTAATCTTGATTCATTTTGTCTTAATTTATAAAGAAGAATGATGATACCTTGGAGAGCCATTGCACAAAGAATATTGACACGAATCGTTGCAAAGGAAGACATCAAAGAGTCAAAAAAAACTTACAACAAAATGTCTTGAAAACAAAAATTGCACAACACAACAAATGAGAAACAAGTAGGCGGAGTCTGTGACCGAACTGTAAGAAATGAGATTTACATACAGAAAAGTCAAACAAATGTCATTATTAACCATGTCTCCATCCAATTTTAATGTGAATTTTGAACAAACTTTAAACGTTTGCCAAAAATAGGAAATAAAAAATCAGAGTTAGGCCTGTTTCCATCTACAGGTTTGGAGCGAATCAACCAGCCTATGGAAAGCATAATTTCGACAGACATTGACGTTACCCATGWATGTAAAAAACAGAAAGTAGAGGCTGCAAACGAGCAGGGATCAAACATCTGACGACAATGGAGAGAAGTTTTCAGGAACGTGTTGCTATTAAGCAAGTTGTAGTTGTTTGGTCAACTAGTAGGGACGGCGTTACATGCGGTCCGGTGATGTAGAGAAAGAAATGCAATTCTTATGGGAATATCAGTGATGACGCAGACAGCAGAAACAGKTGATCAATCATGTGAGGCAAACGTTCGCTATGTCAGAAAGTAAGATGCTGTACAATAATCAGTAATATAGAATAATGCATAAATTCTCTTTCGGAAAATCCATAAACCAACTCAAGCAAGCATAAAAACATATTTTGCAAAAGTTTTTTTTTTTTTTTCGAATTTTGCCATTTCCATCAACGTTTTTTAATAAAATACTTTAAAAAGTGCTTAAAAACGTTGTTGGAAACTTGGCTTTTAACACCTAAACAGAAAAGAACAAGTGAGCTAAAGAAGAGCAATAATAGACGGTGTGTGACTGGATGAAAGTGATCTTCAGTATGTAAAGAAGTCAGTGATCAATAAATCTCTTCTAAAAACTTTATTCCAGTCTCTGACTCCAGTCAGCTCCAGCAGTACACACAGTCAGCAGGCCTCAGAGTTGGAAGGCCTTGGCGCTTTATCAGCTGCTCTAAGAGCTGCAAAAAAGAACTAAGAAAAAACTCTGCTCACTAATAATAATGATTCAACCTTTTAATACATGTCTCTTCCTGAAGACAGAACGAACATCGATAAGACACACAAACTCATTCTCTGTTTTAAACCATGGCTGCAATGATCAGAAATTGTAAAATTACAAGCCTGAATCTAACATTCAGTTAATTAGTCACATTTCCTTTAATTGAAAAACTGTGAATCTCCATTGGAAAAAGACAATGATGCTGGAACCTTTGTTTGCTGCCGTTCTGATAAAAATGATGAAGAAGTCTTGAATTAAAGCTCCAAATTTCCAAATTCATTGATGATACAGGCCTGCAAGGATATTTGGTGGCAAATTTCTTTTTTCAAGCTGAAAGGACGTGGAACCTTTGAAAAAGACCCATGATGTCAACAGCATGGCCTGCAWCCAGTCTGGAAGTAGAAATTGAAGAGAATGGTCAGTGACAAGGCTCCAACCTGCAAAGCTGATCTGGGAACAGCATTAAAGGACAGTTGGAGCAAGACAGATGAAGTGTTCTGTTTGTCATTAGTTAGGTCCGTGACACAGTCTGCGAATTATCTTTTTATATAAAATAAACAGCTGAAAGAATATTCTCCAAAAGTGGTCATTTTTGCCCGTGGTTGTAGTTAATGTTTTTTTAATGAAAAGCAGAACAAAATGTCTCCAAATCAAATGCAAAGGTTGATCATTTATCACTCTGAGTATTTAAAAAGGTCACATTATTACCTAAAGATGTGCAAAAAAACTCATTTAGTCACATTGCCTGGTCATTTTTCCTTCTTTTACAAAACGTCTCCTCTCATCCCCGGCAATCCTCATGTTTTCACATCTGGGGATGAGGCGGTGTTTAGTATGCGCTGCTGGTCATGCAGCGCCTGATATAGATGTGCAACACCATCCCATAGCACTGCCTCTGTTCTGCCTGAACGTTGACAGAAATATGGTCAATTTATTTAAAGATGTCTTATTTTTGAAGATGGTCCTTCTATCTGCCAAAAGCAATGCCAAATTCTCTCATGACTCCTGTATGTGGGGGAAAATAACTTCCTGAAGAAGAAAAATGATAAGAAGCCCCACTGAGGATTTTGTTCAGTTTTCAAATTAGGTAATTTCAAGACACTATATCCTATTTTCTTATCTTGTTGATACAAAAAAAAAAAAAAACTCAACCACAGATGGAAAACCAAAAGTAGTATTTTGTTTTGCTTTTGCATGAAGTGTGCACACTACAAATAGAAATGTTTGACAGCCCCTTTGCTTACAGCCCTGCTATCCTCACCAGACCTTCTTTGCCTCTCACCTGCAACCCATGCAGCGTTTCCATGGAGACAGACAACCCTCAAAGCAGATTGCACTCCTTTACATGAACATTTTCCTCATTTATACAGCCAGACCACTCAATTACAAGTGTTCAGATCTACTTCTCAGGATACTGTGACAGAGTTGATTAGAAGCAATTAGATCGTCTGCTGAAGGGGGTTGGCTGTTGTTCAAACTGGTTTATAAAATGTTTTAACGTGATGGGTCACTTTGTAAAATGAAAACTGCTTCACATTGACAGAAATGTGCCCTTTTGGCTTTCTGAAGGGAAGTTAGATGGGATGATCATTGCAACACTTTTAAGCTATATTTGATCTAATTTGAAACCAGAAGCTTCAGAAGAGGAAAGTAACTTAAAACATTAGCAAAAAACTTCAACTCACGCGTTTATTCTTAATTTCATTAAGATAAATAAAAGTAAAGTGTTTTAACTAGTTTTATCTCACCAGAATATGTAATGAGTAGGGATGCAACAATACAGAAAATTCCCAATTTGGTTCTATGCTTTAGTCTCACGGTTCTATACTTTTTTCAATACAAAAAAGACAAATTTCCATGCCCTTCTCAACTTGTGATTTATTGAATTTAATCATGAACATTTGTTTAACCTCAAAGTACAAGTTCTAAATTAAATGTTGTTGAAACAGCAAGTTTCTTAGCGGATCTGTGCTCGACAATGCAGCCTAGGTGGAGTAGTCGAACACAGATCCACTGATCCTTCAACACAGAGCATCTTCGGAAGACAGGCTGATAAAATAAATGAAAAATAAATCTGTATTGTTTGATACAAGTGCGTATTGAACCTGGGGCACTGTATTGAACGGTTCAATACAGATACATGTGTTGCACCCCTAGTAATGAGTGCTTTGGTCCAAAATGCACACTTAAAGCATTTATGCTAATCAGGAAGCTTTAGCTTCACGTGCCTAATGGGGACCTTCACTCAGGCTATTTTTTAGAACACCTAGTCAGGTGATGCGCGTATAATCTCGCAGCAGTTCCATTGATTTCAGTGGAACTAGCTGTGTTTAAACTTAAATTCGGGAAAACAGCATCAAACTCCACCGGGAGGAAAAACACCAAACTTTCTAACAATTCTGCCCCCTTTCAAAGACCTCGACCCTCCAGACAACCTTTTAAATGAATTTTCCTGTGAATCCTGATGTCGGATGTGTTGAAATTTGCTGTAGGAACGTCTTTCTGTTAACACTGGCCCATCGTAGAATCCACTCCATCAGTCCYATCTTTTGAGCGAGCGGCAGATAATGTACGCAAATAATGTGCGTGACGTCACGAGCGAAGGTCCCCATTTCTTGCGTGAAAAGTCTCTCAATCCTGTGGACTGAGGAAGTAACTTCTGAGCTCCACAAATAGTMTTTTTAAGTCGATCCAAATATTTTAGTCCATAAACCTAGTGGAACACAAGGGTGTGATTATTTCAAGTATTTTAACAACTTGTGCAAATAAAAAAAAATGCTAAAACTAGTGATTTTTTTTTTGGGGAAGTGTTGGCAGATGGATTTTGTTACCACTGAATAGCTCTTCTGTAACATTGCCAGACTTGGTGCCAAGCAGCTCACAAGCAGCTGGCTGTAGTTTCATAATTAATCTRATAATCTGGCTTCCCACTAGAAAACACATAAGCATATTTCTTGAAATGTCCAGCTGTTCCTTAAACGGGATGGTTTATGTTCCTCTTTCTTTTCGCTATTGTTTTCTTTTAATCTCTGTGTGTGAAAGTCTTTATGTGTTTCTCTTCATGTCACATTTTCCTCCATCCGCTCTGTTTTCTGCTCGTTGTAACTACTCCCACTTTGGCTCATAGTACTCTGAGTCGTAAGGCTGCCTGATAGCCCTCCTGAGTCTTGTCTGCTGAGTCCTGTTCTAAAAATAGTCACACCGTCTCTTTCGTTATACAGCAGAGCAATTAAGTGTTTGGGTGGTTAAATGTCTGCCTCGTAACGGCCTCCCCTCCATCATTTAGATGCATCTCACAAAATCACGAGGCATCGAGTGAACCTGTTCGTTTTTATCCTCCCTAATTACGACTCACTTGATTCTTTCAAAGCCACCAGGTGATCAGATTTTCTATTTGTGCAGCAATGTTGAAAATATTGTAAATTCAGCGACCGGTGGTGATGAAAGCTTGTGTTGTGATTGCTCTGCAGGGTGCCATCAACATAAGTGTTAAGTTTTGATTAGA